ATTCAAACGGAGGGTTACTGTTGCAGTTACTGTAATTATGAAGTGATCACCTGTGTTAAAGCGACGAAGGCTATGTAATTTTGCGTATATCGGTAACTTGAAATATTTCGTGATGCCAGACCACTTGTACACTGTAGAATATTAAGATGCAAGAAATCAAAGTTTCGCCATCACCATGCACATGGGTGTAGTCAGAGTGAGGGGACTTCTACAGTATTTCAGGATTGAGCTGAAAGCTGGAAGTTCTTCTAGCTAACTGTTAATCAATTTCGGAACACTGCACTGCAACGTTGCAGAGTTCCATCAAAAGAACATGCGGTTTGACAGTAAATTATCTACAGTACCTTTGTAAAGTCCTGGAAGACTCATATTTCTACATGCAACATTCAAATGTTGGTAAACCATAGTAAGTAGAATGCTTGAGTATTACTAACATGCAAGCCAGCGAGGCATGCAAACCAGGACCCCTAACCTCAGTAAAAAGACCAACCACAAGTTAACTAAGCGAACTTAGGCTAACCAGATTGCTCTTTAGACTAAATGAAATGTTTGTCGGGCAAACAGGAGTTTTATCGGGGCTAACACAGAGGCAAGCCATGCGATGCAAGCCAGTCATTCCTACTGGCTCTAAGGCTAACCACAAGCTAACAAAGGCATTGTTTTTTTTTTTTGGAGAAGGGGGAAGGAGGGGTGCGGGCTATTTGGGCTAAGCAGGTTCTGATTTAGGTTAACCATGCTGTTATTTAGTCTAACTGGAATGGCTTGCATGGTAGCTGGCATGACTCCCTGGTTTACACTTTGTGCAGACCTGTTAATAGAGGGGAACGGTTATGAAGACCGGCAGACATCAGAGGAGCAGACAAAGATGCTAAGATTTATGTTGGAAGGTCCATGACTGTGTGCAATCTTTTGTTTTGCGCTCATACACTATGGATGAATTACATAACTAAAACATTTCTGTTGGTTAGTTCCTCGGTCAGTAGTAAACAAGTATTGTGTTTTGTTCATGGTCAGCACCAAAAAGGAGAACAAAAACATACAACAATGAACTTTGTCAGGTTTCATAACCATTTTGCTATTATTATCTATGGATAAACCTGAAGAATTGAAAAACTTTGTTCTGTTGTTTTAGGTTGACATTGAACTTGATCTGCCAGAAGTGGTAAACATGCCATCTTTAGAGAGTATTTTGAATGAGGTACAGTATTCATCTGAATGAAAAATTATAGCTTTTGTTAATATGGTAGTACTATGAGTAATATTCTCTGTATGTTTAAAAACCTTCCAGAAAGATGAAGATATAATTTCACTAGAAGATGATCCAGATCTTGCCAGTTTGCTTGATGAACAAATGCTGTCCTCTTCGCTTGACCTGGATCCAAGGTGAGTTGTTGATGGTTAACTGATGTCTTTAATATATGTCGAATCTGGCTTACAAGCCTTTGGCTGAAACTGCTTCTTATTGCTGATGCAACCCTATAGATACATACATGTAAGTTTAGTTATGCAATACTCTTGAGTGGTGTAATATACCATGAATATCTGATCAGTCACTTTTCTCAGTATAAACATGAGCATTCAGGCAAGTCTGTATACATGTGCCAAGAATATACAAGTGACAAGTGGGATCTTCCATCGTATACCATGAGACAGCATTGCATTTGAAACTATTTTATACCATGCCATAGAAAATAAAATGGCAAACACAGTCAATGCGACATGTGGTGGGAAGGTTGTGTGGAGTAGATTGGAGAATACAACAGTTTTGTTGTACTCTGATTGGCTGCATTTTCTGTGGCATGGTATAAGAAATAGTATTGAACATGTGACATGAATACATGTAGATACAAGTTCTGTGACATACATGTAAGACTGTCCTACCCTCATAAGTCATTTATATAGGGCTTATGGACCACATATGATGTTGTAAGGAATTTCTTCCAAGGAATAATTCTTCAAAAAAGATCATTATGGTGACTTCAGATTGAATATTGTTTTTGTTTGTAATCTTTCACAGTGCAGGAAAGAAGGGAAAGAAAACTAAGCATGGCTCAGTTCTACGACATGTTGTGTTAAAAAATGTCTCTGCTCAAATGGTCTCTGCATCTGTAAGTAGAGGCTGAATGGTACATTTTCTTAAATTTTGAAAGTTACTTCAATCTGATTAATGTTGTGTTTATAATTTCAATGGTCTTTTAGGGTATTAAAAAGTTAAGTACAAAATTTGTTGCATTTGCTGTAACCATAACTGTAAATAAATCAACATTTGTTACCTGAAGTGTTTTTCAATGAGCAAAATAATGATTAATAGTATTCCTTTGTTTTAGGCTAGAGTTGATGCTGGCTTGCCAACAGCCATGGTAAATACATTGAGTATACAATGCATGTACTAGTTACATGTAGCTTGATAGTGATTATCATAGTGTTTTTATTTGCAAAGTTTTAAAACTATAATGCAAGCAATCAAGTCTTTGAGTTCATCAGGAGAGAAAAATTATTTTTGGACCATCCATATACTGTACATAATAATAATCTCTGGAGGAATCTGTATCTTAAAGTTAAATATATATGTCAAACAATTTTATTCAGCTCATCCAGACAGAAATTATTATTTTCAGGGGTTGGGGTGGATGATTAATATGCTAGTACTGTATATTTCGTGAGTTGAGACGATGAATATTTTGTCATTATTATTGTGACTGATGTTTATTTGTTTGTTTGTTTTTGTGGGAGAGGGGGGATGGTAAAGTTGTTTAGATAAGGCTTTGGTTTGAACTGCCTTTCTATTGTTTTTAACTCATGTCCACTCACCTGATAGTTCAATGGAATTATTGAATTAAGAACAAAAGGGAAAATGTAAAATTTTTGAGAGATCAAGAGAGCCTGTTACCCCACCCCCATCCAGCCTGTCCCCCAGTACCCTCCTGGGAGGCACTCATATAAGAGTAACACCATTATTACAGATAGTATAGTGTATATGTATGTATGGAGCCTTTGACATGTAGAAATACAATTACTGAAATTTGAAGATTCTTTTTTTAGGCAGTGTCGTCTCTTATTTGTATTGGAACATCTCATGGCATTGTGCTAGTTTTTGGTGAGAGAAATATTTATTTAAAAGTAACTACTGGTATTTAATGTGCATTTTCTGTAAAACTAATGAATAAAGCCAATAAAGGAATTACTTGATTTCTGTACCCATAGTTAAATCACAGACAAGTTACTATAGTAACTGAATGCTTGTACCTTAGTGCCAACCGTTTTCCTACGATGTGGGAAAACGGAATTCGAACTTCCAGTTTCATTTTTTGTTTACCCATGCCATCGGAAAAGGGAATTTGAGATTCCATTTTCATTTTCCATTTTCCTACTACTTTGGAAATGGAATTCAAACTTTTATTTTCGTTTTTCATTTTCCCACAACTTTGGACAGTAGGATTCTATCGTCATTTCCTTTTTTTGTCTTTCATTTATGGAATTTGAACTTCAATTTTCGTTTTTCATGTCTGTGTTTTTGTCACTTTCTTATGTTACCTGAATCGGAAGAATATTGGCACTTCCTGTAGCTAACAATAGACCTGGGAACCACATCTTTGGTGAAGTCTTTGTTCGCCATTTTCTTATTGAGGAAAACAATAGTTATGAAGACCTTCTCAAGGTAATCACAAACCATTACCCTAATTTAAGGGGCTGCACAGTAGTTTGCGAAGTGTAAAAAGGTTTTTCAGTTGTCATGGTATCAAGAAGAGAAGGTCAGTTGCAGATGAAACAGTCAATATCTGGTCAGTGTAAAATGAGGACTGGGAACTGTAGACTGCAGACTTCAGAGTGGGGTAAAATGAAGACTGAGGGTAAAAATGCAGACTGTAGACTTTTTGAGTTATTTTTTTGTAAAAAAAAATACCTCTTAGGCGGCGCGTCGGGTATGTTATGGACGGGTCAATGGGTGAGTGAGTGAGTGAGTGAGNACTTTTAAACAAATATGATTTTTTACACTCCAGGTAAATTAAGACATTTTTATTGTAATTAATTTGCAGATCCTCAGCAAACACTGAAGCTGGTACTTGGAAATACATCAATTGGTATGATAAAAAAGTATTCTCGCCTTATGTTTATTATTATAAAAATGTCTTACGTACTACGCATCTGCATGTATTTCTGAATCAGTGTTATTGAACACTGATTCTGAAATAGATTTGTAGTATGTACAGACATTTTATGTCTGTATAATAGGTGCCGAGTATGGTGCTGTCACTGCTCTTGGAATCAACATGGAATGTACAAGGCTTCTTTGTGGACATGCAAGGGGCCAGGTGAGTTTTAGAAAATAAAAATTAATCCAGGCCCACTTAATTGGTTGTAATCGATCATCAGAAAATGGCTTTTTATTGATTACTTAATATATTTCTCAGGCAAGACTAAGTACCAATTCCGATGGATTAAGATCAATTTCAATTTCTTTCGAGTACAGAAATATCAGTTAGATACCCCAAATTAGTAATTAATTACTGAGAGAACATTATGGTCATAATCTTGGAAGCAAGCTTTCCCAGTTACATTGTGTATGTAGTATTAAAGTTGCCAGTTTTGTTTTTATTACAGATAACAATGTGGGATTTACAATCGGGTAAATTACTGAGATCAATCACAGATGCTCATCCCATGGGCAGTGCAGTGCTCCATGTCATGGTGAGGAAGGGTGGTGGAGGGTGTTGCGTGTAGCTAGGAATCACAGCTGTGTAGCCTGTGTAGCTTGGTGGTTTTTAAGTAATTTGAGCACCTGAGCTGCGATAACGAGCAGCAAAGTCGCAAGGAGCCTGGAAGAATGACAACTGAGAAACCACCTGCATGGACGACTGGCATTTTTTGTTAGTCCAGTATGCTGGCGTATACAGGCCATTGCCATTGGATCAGAAGGTTAACCCATCAATCAAAATTTTTGCTAATCTCCTAACGGACAGCTCCAAGGAACAACACTGATTACAATGCAGATCTTTGGCATGTAAACAGAAAATAATCAAGAAAGTGTTGTCGAAAGCGTTATCGCACGTGAATGTCCTTCGCGAATATGACAAAATCGTTAACTGCCAAACATGGGCAAGAAACAGCCGTTAACAGTTTGCCTCATGGGAGAGATGTGATAGCTGTTTTCCCAACAGGCTTTGGCCAAAGCATGATTTTTACTGTGTTTCACTGTTTGCGCTTACCAGACAAGAATTGTTGTCTTCAAGAACCAGTATTGTTGTTATTTCGCTGTTAAAGAGCATCATCGACGACCAAATTTCAGAAATATTATCACTGAACTCTGCAGCAATGGAATTGCCGTCTGATGTTTTACATGTATGTCGTTTGTCATTTGAGGACTTTGATTGCAGCTTGCTTCACTTTCTGCAGGCTCGAGTTGATGGAATTATGAAGTTCAAAAGCGTTTCTTTAATTAATTTACATACACAGGTGTGGCACACATGATCAGATGATATGTCTGACCATTCTATTTCTAGACCAATTTCAGATTTCTGACAAAGTGTCATTTTGAAATCCTTCACGCTTAGAGACCTTGAAAAGGTTTTGAATGGAAATGTTTAAATTCTCCGAATTTGATCTTGAGTGGACAACAACAAAGTCTACAATTATTGTTTACACTTCTCTTGATTCCTCCCTTGACAGGCTTTGCCCTTCGCCACCACAGAGCAAACATTGCATCGCCATAGCATCGGATGGTTTTGTTTTGATAGACTCCACAGTATCACAGTGACTTTTCCCTGCCAAGTTGGCTGGAAGTTTCTTATTATGATCTATGCTCTGATTAGCTGTATTAATAAGATTCACAAAACCTGTCATCGGGTTGTGAAAATATGTAATAAGGGGCGGCAATAAAAAATGTGGGTAATCCAGGCAGGCGGTTCCCCATGGCTTCACTGCTA